ACAGGACGCACGGCCGACAAATTATCAGCCCGGTATCGGCCGGCCGGCGCCTGGTGGCCGCCGCGGCAGCCCCGGTGGCCCGTCAGGGCGGCCATTCCAGCTCCGACGGCCACCTTCAGCCCGCAGAGACGCCACAGGCGCGGCACATTGCAGGCTGATGCAATGATGATGGAGACAGTGGGCCAAGTGTCCGCGCTGTGCAGGAGGAGATGATTCGCGTGGTTTAGTCGGAGATTGTAGTAAAGCATGCCGAATCTAAGCGTGCTACGAACACACTAGGAATATGACTTTTCAAACGCCGATTGGTGAAAAAGGCAGCATGAAATGATTGAAGTTCGTTGCAATAGGGGAAGGTGGGGTAAGACGGCCCAGCGGGGCAAGACGGACCACCAGCCCTCCCGGCTGAACCGCTGCTGGTATCTACTGCTTTATGCACTCACTATGTTTGTTTTCCTTCGTAACAATGGCCACCTTGAGCTCATGCTGCTAGGATGCATAGCTTTTGAGTTATTGAGAAAAATGAAACCGATCTAATATAAGAGGTCTACGGGTGATTCAATTACGGCGCCTTTCTTGCATGATAAGTTTCTATTTTGCACTTTACTGTGAAGAACAAAGTTATAAACTTACTTATAGTCACACTTTAGGAAAGGCAAGGTTTTGCAATGTTGGGCTATTTGACATATACGTCATGATAATGACAGAATTTAGATTTGGGGCAAAACGGACCACTGTGGTCCATCTTACCCTGTGGTGGTCCATTGGACCCTGCATATGGAAAGTTCTTTTCCAAAACATTGACACAAGTTTAAGCAAGTTAATTTTTTAGGAAGGAGTCTTTGTTGCATGTGAGCCATGCATGCAAGTGCTCAGTTAGCATGCATTCATGCCAAACGACAATCAACACACATGTTCCCAGCTTTTAGCTGCACTTCCATCACACATGAGTAAAGAATAAAGGCTCATTTTGTTATTTTACCATTCTGGTTACTTTTTCTTACAAGAGTACAGAGCAGAAGTGTAACACACATGAACGGATAGCAGGCACTGCTGGGTGGTCCGTCTTACCCCGCGTTTTTTCTTGTCTGAGTTTTTGACATGTCCCTCTTTAAGAGCATCCACCACCTAGATGTCTTAAATTTGAAATTTAGTCTTTACACATATCAACAGAGGAAGGATTGAACATTCCGAAGACTATAAATAATATGAATTACGAGAGCAGTGTAGCAAGATATGCGGCCTCAAACCTTAGCTGGTCCGTCTTACCCCACCTTCCCCTAATTAAAAACGAGGAACTAGAGCTACGCTAAATTGCTATCAAATTGAAAAAAAATAATTTGGTATCGTTAGTCTGTCATTTTTTTTTTTTTGGGGGGGGGGGGAATGAAACCATCACTCTTTACAATATGATCAAAATAAGTCCAATCACATTTACCAGCCCAGTATTCAATCCACTCTTTTTAGTGCAAACGGCAGTTTCCAGCAAGGCTGCGGGGTCGATGGATTTTCGGTGACCCCGACTCCGACTCCGGCATCTTAACCCTCGCCCGTATTGGTGTTTTTCCAGCCGCGAACGTATAAGGGGGGGGGGTCCGTTGGACCCCCCCCTTGCCGTTTCGCCCTTGATCGAGCTAGAGCTTCGCGGAAAAAACGAGCGTGTTGCTCGTGACGAGAGGAAGCCGATGATGCCCAATTTTAAGGTCCTAGGTCATTGGTTGACCTTGCAGGTCAGGTCAATTACCCAAAAGTCGGGAAAATCGGGACCTGTTAGAACGTCGTGAAGTGTGGCTGTTATGGGTTTTTTTTTGGGGTGCTGATCACGAATATCATGTTAGTTTTGATCACAGATGATGTCTTCATGCATTTAGGCCAGGTCGGGTCAGGTCAGGTCAGCAGACTTGTAAACGACTCAAATTTTTTTTGAGTCGATTCTTTGTTTGAGTCTGAAAATTTGAATCGATTCATCAAACGACTCATGATGTTAAATTTAATTGATTCGAATCAACTCATGACTCATCAAGTTCCTCGATAAAATGATTCGAATCAACTCATGACTCGAGCAACTAGCCAACGGAATGATTCGAATCAACTCATGACTCACACATTTTGATGAATCGATTCAAATCAACTCATGACTCACACGACATTTTTATTGAACTTATTTCATTCAACCCATGACTCACTATAGGCATTTGTTGATTATTTGACTCAAAGCTATGATAAAATGAATATGCCGCATACCACAATTGTATTAAGCAGCATAGTAGCCTTGACCAAAGATTCAAGCAGCTACCTAGTAGGACTAGGTACATAGGTACCTACCTTACACCTACCTATCTTCAACACTCAACAGTCAACAGTGCAATGTCAGATAAATTTGTAAGTAACTCTGAGAGACAATTATAATATAAGTAAGGACTAAGGAGTAGCATAGTAACCTATCTCTTATTATTACCTAGAAAGTCTTATTTGAAAATTCAAAAGCACAAGTTCCGAGAGGCATTCATGTTTTTTTTAATCAAACTTTTTCTACATGATAATGAGACAAATGTTACTACTTCTTACTTATCAGATAAAATTATTCAAACAGTACAACCTCAAAAATAGGATTAATCCCACCTGTGAAACATTCCACCTGTGGGCCACGAGGAGGCCATGGCCTTGCATGAGTGGCTCAGGCCTCAGAATCAGATATGATCTTGAGTTGAGACTCATTGAAAGTAGTTAATGTAGGTATACAATATACATTCTCCAAACGGCACCTAGTTTAGCAGTGCCAACTGGCTGCCAGCTAGATAGAGCCCATCCGTCACTTACCATTTATGTTGGCTCAACGTGGAGATTAAAATGAAGGAATATAAAAAATATTGTTAGTCTACAATTTTAGATTAAAAATGACGTCATTGAATATTAATCGATATCAGGAGCACCGGAGCACTGACCAAGTGGCTCTTTTGGTAAAAATAAATTGTCATTGGTGCAATTCGGGCAACGTCATCCGGCCAATTTGTCACGAGATTCAGACGTGAAAGTTATCAACTGCGCCATTAATGTAGTTTTCTTAAAACATACTGACTTTCACATTCTATTCTCGAATTCATGACGTCACTCATAGTACATATTTTAGGCGAATGGAGATCGCTGAGGAAATATTTCAAAGCCGCTCCTTTACATTATTCTGAAGATTCTATGATGTCATAAAACAAGTTTCTTTTTAAACTTCTATTTCATGGAAAAATGTGCATTTTGTGGTTTATTGGCAGTTGAGCATCGCAATTTTGCGGTTTATAGGTGAGTTTATTTATATTATAGCATAGCCTATAGGTAGTTTATAGGCTATAGGTAGTTTGGGCGTATTTGACTCTATAGACGCCCAAACTCTTATGCTGTTGATTGATTATTGGGACCAAATTGGGACTGGGAGAAGGGGAGGCCAGTTGGGCAAACTAGACCTTTGGAATCAAAATATTGAGGCATCAAAAGATTGATTCCTTATGACCATATTTGGGCATAAACGCAGACCATTTCTAATTTACCAAACACATAAAAATAAGCGAGTGTTTCAAGAAGGAGTATGCCTGATCTTGAACAGAAATGCTGGAAGTATCTCCTAAGCAAAATAATATTGCTCCTATCATAACAATTTGAATTCTATAGGTAGCGAAAGGCAATCAAGGAATTGATTCACTTGAAACAGATAATCATAATATTGATTCCCCATCAGCTGGCTAATCATTATTTTGATTCACTTGTAATGTTAACAGATAGGCAACAATTACTTGCAAGAATACAGCATTTATCTTGCTATTATTCTCATTTAGTGGTATCCTCAGCACCACAACAGATACCTATAGCATTGTTGTACTTTACCTTCACTACATTTGATAACAATTCACAATTTTTAAATGTCAAGAATACAAAAACTGAAGCAACAGGTAAAAACCATATAATAGATATAAAAGCACTACAACAATGATAATTAGGGGTTTAAAAATTTCATTTTGCCATTTTGCACAAATACTGATTGCTTGGTATGCGATTCATGATACAAAAATAACATACAGTGTGATTTCCTCAAAACAGCTTTTACGTGATGGGCAGTGCCTCTGTCTTTTTCCCATTCACAAGGCCAAAGGGACAATTTCTTAGTTTTGAGGTAACACTTTTTGCAAACCTACCACATTTTTCTACCTTTTTAAAGAAAAATCTCACCGTCATGGGCCTTTTTTCAACCGTAACGATACATTTGAAGTCAAAAGTGTACCCAAATGAATCAAAAAATTGATTCCATGCCCATATTTGGTCATGGCTCCTCCCACCAGAATCAAATTATTGATGCCTCCATATTTTGATTCCAAAAGTCTAGTTTGCCCATCTGAGGCAGCCGCAGGTGTCAATTCTGACTTCTGACATGTAAAATGTAGGTACCTAGGTAGTGTAGCAGGCACTTGGTTTGGTAAGACTAAGTACCTACCAACTGCCAAATGCTTTTGGCTCATTAGGCGCCTGTGCCTGAGCCTCTGAGGCTCTTGTAAGTCTGAAATATGGAGTTAAGTGATGGCTAAAGCTGAGGGGGTGATCTAGCATTGATTATTAGGGTGTTGATGGTGACTTGTAAACGACTCAAATTTTTTTTTAGTCGATTCTTTGTTTGAGTCTGAAAATTTGAATCGATTCATCAAATGACTCATGTATTGTACGGTGGATTGGTGTTAACTGTTACGTTTCACCGATCTCCGTAGGCCCTGACCGTACATATTACCGTAGCTGCGTTTATGATACGGGCCCCACCATACGGCTGCGTCTGCGCATGCGGGAGCCGGGAGGGTAGGCTGACCCGCATATTGCCTGAGGCTCAATGTGGACGAGCGTGTCGTGTGGACTGGTCTGTGGCAGTGACTGACTGGCGAGCGACCAATACAGGTTGACCTCTGAGCACGAGTGGTCTCTACACTGGCGACGAGGATTTGAACCGGCGCGGCGGGGCGACTTCTACGGCCATGGATGGGGCAGCGTCGGCCACCCTGCAGCTGGAGCCCTTCAACCCGGCGACGGACTCCTGGAGCCAGTGGGAGGAGCGTCTGCACTACTTCATCGAATGTAACGGCATTCAAGGCGAGAGCAGGAAACGCGCCACGCTGTTGACGGTATGTGGGAAAGAGGCCTTTTCGCTTATTTGTAGCTTGATAGCACCGTCTAAGACGTCTGAGAAGTCGTTTGATGAGCTTTTGCAAGTAATAAGGGAGCACAAAGAACCCAAACCATCTGTCATTGTGTCGCGATTCAAGTTCAACTCGTGTCAACGAACGGCAGGCCAATCCGTTGCTGATTTTGTTTCTGTGCTAAGGAAGGCTACCGAGCACTGCTGTTTTGGAGCCACGCTTGATGACAGACTCACTGAGCAGTTTGTTTGCGGCATCAGGGATCCTCGGATGCAGCGGCGGTTGCTGTCAGAATCCAGCCTGGACTTCAGCTCAGCACAGAGGATCTGCCTGGCGATAGAGGCTTCCAGCAGAGACGCTCACCTGATCTCCGGCACACCGGGTACAGTGCCGGCAGAGGTATGTGAGGTAAGGGCGCAAGGCCTGCCGTCAGGTCAGTCAGCTCGTCCAGGGGCTCGCTGTTGGCGTTGTGGCGGGAGGAGCCACTCACCTGATGTGTGTCGTTTTGCGTCGTACAAGTGTCACAACTGTTCGAAAGCTGGACATTTGGCTAAAATGTGCACAGTCAGAAAGACGACAGTCAGACCTCGGAGGCAGCAGGGCAGAGCAAACGCCGTTGAAGCAGATGAAGAATGGGAGGCGGACTACACGACAGATGTTGGCCGTGCAGAACAGGATGAAGAGATCTGCAGAACGGAAGCGGTCCATCGGGTGAGTGTACCTCCCATTTCTTGTCTGGTTCAGTTTCAAGGTACAGATGTAGATATGGAGATTGACACTGGTTCTAGCGTATCGTTGATTGGGCAGGATACGTTTGAACAGTTGAACAGAAAGCCTAAACTCAAAATGTGCTCATCTCGTTTGAAAACGTATACGGGTCAGTTCATACCATTGTTGGGAGAGTTTCAAACAGACGTGTGGTATGAAGGCAAACAGCACCGTGCCCTGACAGTTGTGGTGGTAAAAGATGCCAGGACTAACCTTCTAGGACGAGACTGGCTGGAGCACATCAACCTCAACTGGCGGGCCGTGCACGCCATTCGAACCAGTTCCTTGCAGGGCCTGAAGGAGAAGTATCGGCGCCTCTTTGAGCCGGGCCTGGGAGAGCTGAAGGGGGTAAAGGTACGTCTGGACATTGACCGTACTGTACCACCGAGGTTCTGCAAGGCCCGCTCTCTGCCCTATGTGTTCAAGGAGAAGGTGGAGGCCCAGCTCCAGAAGGACATCGACAGCGGCGTCCTGGAGGAAGTGCAGAACAGCAGCTGGGCGGCGCCCATTGTTCCGGTGCTGAAGAAAGACGGGAATGTCCGAGTCTGCGGCAACTTTAAGTTGACGGCCAACCGAGCGGTGAGGTTGGACAGATATCCATTGCCACAGGTCCCGGATCTGTTTGCAACGCTAGCGGGAGGTACCGTATTCTCGAAAATTGATCTGGCTTCGGCCTACAATCAGTTAGTTCTTCACGAGGACTCTCGAGACATCATGACCATCAACACCTCACGAGGTCTTCTCAGATTTTCGAGGCTCCCGTTCGGCATCAACAGTTCTGTGGGTATATTTCAGAGAGAGATTGAAAAGGTTCTCCAGGGCATACCCAACGTCATTGTTTTCCTGGATGACGTTCTGGTGAGTGGAAAGACACAGGCCGAACACCTGACCACGCTGGAGAAGGTGTTTTCTAGGCTTGAAGACGCGGGTCTAAAAGCCAGAGCAGATAAGTGTAAGTTTTTGGTTCAGCAGGTTGAGTACCTGGGTCACGTGGTCAACAGGCATGGAATTTCCCCGACTTCTGAGAAAACTGAAGCGATCAGGTCAGTGCCTGAACCTAGGAACGTGTCTGAGCTGAAGAGCTTTCTTGGGTTGTTGACTTACTACTCCAGGTACTTACCAGCGCGCGCTCAGAGGCTGGCTGCGCTGTACGACCTTCTCAAGAAGGACAAGGACTGGATATGGGGACCAGAACAGCGGAAAAGCTTCCACTGGGCCCAGAGTGTCCTTACCTCGGACTCTGTTCTAGCTCACTTCGATGCGGCGAAGGAGCAAGTGCTGGTCTGTGACGCATCGTCTCGAGGCATTGGAGCGGTACTGGCTCAGCGTGAAGCGGATGGAGCTGAGCGTCCTGTCGGGTACGTGTCAAGGAGTCTGACCTCTTCAGAGCAGAAGTATTCTCAGTTGGAGAGGGAAGCTCTCGCGATCGTTTTCGCGGTAGAAAAGTTCAATCAATACTTGCTGGGTAATAAGTTCATACTGGTCACGGATCACAAGCCGCTGGTAGTTTTGTTTGGAGAAAACAAAGACATTCCGGCTATGGCGTCTGCTCGCATTCGTAGGTGGGCATTGAAGTTGTCTGCGTACCAGTATGCCATCCAATTTAGGCGCACGGAAGACATGGGTAACGCGGACGCCCTCAGCAGGCTTCCCCTGCCAGTTGCAGATGGCTCTGGCCAGGAAGATCTGGTGCTGCTGATTGAGGATGCTGTATTTGATGCTAAGCAAGTAGCACGTTTGACAGCTCGTGACCCCGTTCTTTCCAGAGTAATGAACCTGGTGCAGAAGGGCGGGTGGCCCGAGATAGCTGACCCGGCATTGAAACCGTTTTCAGAGAAACGCTGGGAGCTGTCTGTGTGTGCAGGCGTGCTGCTGTGGGGGCACAGGGTCGTGATACCACAGAAGGGCCGCCAGTCTGTGATTTCAGAGCTGCATTCTGCCCATCCAGGGATCGGCCGGATGAAATCACTGGCAAGGAGCTGCGTCTGGTGGCCCCAGATTGACGGTGACCTGGAAATGGCGGTCAGACGATGTTCTGCGTGTCAGGAGAGTCGTCCGACCCCTCATCGGGCTGACCTGAGTATGTGGCCCTGGCCGAGACGCCCATGGTCAAGGGTTCATGTGGATTTTGCGGAACCAATCAAAGGCAAGTACATTTTTGTGGTAGTGGACGCCTATTCAAAGTGGGTTGAGGCTGAGCCGTGCTCAAGTGTGAGTTCGCAAGCAGCCATGGTCAAATTGCGACGTATGTTTGCAAGATGGGGCTTGCCTGACATGCTCTGCTCTGATAATGCTACAACGTTTACCTCACAGGATTTTCAGCAGTTCCTGGCGGCTAATGGGGTTCAACATAGAACGATAGAGCCACGTCACAGTCAAGGCAACGGGCTAGCAGAGCGGGCAGTTCGTGACGTTAAGCAGGCTCTTAAGCGCAGTGGAGATGGGAACTGGGAGACTGTGTTGGCTGAGTGGTTGCTGTATCAGAGGAAAATCCCTCACTCAACTACGTCTGTGTCACCCTCAGAGCTGATGCTGGGACGAGTGATCCGGAGCCGGCTAGACCTTCTTCATCCTGACCTGCAGAGCCGTGTTCAGCGGAAGCAGCTGCAGCAGAAGCTGAATCATGACCCTGCTGTACCCCGAGTGTTACAGCTGAACATCGGGGATGCGATATATGCTCGCAATTATGGTGTGGGACCCACGTGGATATCAGGTGTAGTTGTGGGTATAGATGGATCGCAGTCATATGTGGTCAAATTAGAGGATGGTAGGATCTGGCGTCGTCATCAGGATCAGTTGATGCGGAAAACTGACGCAAACTATCCCGTCACAGGACCTGCTGCTGATGTAGCTGCTCACGAGCAGCTCAGCCCGTCGGAGCAGCTGACGGCCGCGCCGGCTGCCGAGGCCGTCTGCACTGGTCTGCCCACCGTACCGGAGACCGGTGGCCCTGACACCGGTGGCTCGCTGACGGCTGCGGCGACGCAGCCGACGGGAGGGTCCTCGACGGGGCCCGGCACGAAGGATCTGCCCGCGATGCCTCTGCCATCTGAGCCAGCTCTTCCGAAGTCTGTGCCTGCATCGGCTACGGAGATGGCTCCGCGAAGATCATCTCGCGTGCGGAAACAAACTGAGTTTTTCCAGGCGTAACGTGTGTTTTCGTTATCTAAACTTATTTGTTAAAGGGAGGAGAGTGTATTGTACGGTGGATTGGTGTTAACTGTTACGTTTCACCGATCTCCGTAGGCCCTGACCGTACATATTACCGTAGCTGCGTTTATGATACGGGCCCCACCATACGGCTGCGTCTGCGCATGCGGGAGCCGGGAGGGTAGGCTGACCCGCATATTGCCTGAGGCTCAATGTGGACGAGCGTGTCGTGTGGACTGGTCTGTGGCAGTGACTGACTGGCGAGCGACCAATACAGGTTGACCTCTGAGCACGAGTGGTCTCTACAACTCATGATGTTAAATTTAATTGATTCGAATCAACTCCTGACTCATCAAGTTCCTCGATGCAGTGATTCGAATCAACTCATAACTCATCGAAAAACGGTTTGATTCTGAGTCGATTCACGAATCAACTCAGAGTCGTTTACAAGTCTGCAGGTCAGGTCAACCAGTAAGGGTATTCGTAGTAGGTGGCAACCGCCTCTAACAGCTTCGTAACATGTTACGAAGGCACCAAAACTACTTCGTAAATGTTCATATGGTTGCTAAATTCGAACTCAGCTCCAAAAACTGGTCTAGAAACATGTAAAACTCGAAAAAGTGAACCGAGGTCATCAAAGGTCAATGACCTGACCTGACCTTCAGGTGACCTTGACACCCACCCTAATGCATGGGGGCAACATCATATCACATGTTTGAACGCTTGAGACCACGAAAAGACTGCAAACGCGCGGCTAATGCGAGCCGACATACGCCGAATCGCGATTCCGGCCAAACATGGTCTCGAAAAGTAGGTCACAGGTCAAAGGTCATTTGGGTCAGGGTCATGAAAATTTTAGGGTAGGTGTAAAATTGATGAACGCGAGGGTACTGAAAGTTTCGTCGCGATCGGCCGCTTTTTACGCGAGTTATTTGCGAAAAACCATGGGGGGGGGGTCCGTTCGACCCCCCCCTATACGGGCGAGGGTTAATTAAGTCGACTTCAGCTCCGACTCCGGTCAGAACTGTCGACTCCGACCGACTCCGACTCCGACATCGATTCTGCTAGTTTCCAGACATATTATACATCTTACTTTTTATACTCACCGTGCATCTTACCACCTCATGATTATCCGGGCCTCTTATCATATGCCACTTTCAAACAAATGTTGACAGTAGAAATGGTAAATTGACTTTATGCAGCATAAGGTCAATTATCCGGGCCTCTTATCATATGCCACTTTCAAACAAATGTTGACAGTAGAAATGGTAAATTGACTTTATGCAGCATAAGGTCAATTGTACCATTTTTATTTATTACAATCATGCTCAAAGAAATGTTGTATCATATAAAAAATGTTGACGGGTAAAACACTTCGAATTAGCATGGTGTGTTGCGCTACAATGATAAGATGTAAGAACGCGCCCCTTTGAGTAGCTTTCTGTACATCAATTTTGGACAAGGTGTGAAATTTTTGACCCCAGGTCATGTCAGGTCAGGTCACCAGGTCAAGTTAACTGACCAAGCCTAAAAAAATGTTTGCAATCATGTCCAGGCTGCAGTTTTTGTCAGAGAGGTTTTAAACTTGGTGGATTGCATGACATTATGGGCGCCTATGATGTGTTTATCTCGGATTTTTCATATCCTTGACCTAAGTGCCAGTGGCGTGACCTTTCCATTACCTATAAGTCAATGGAGAAAAACAAAAATGCTTCTAGATCCGTGTGTACGTATGGGAACAGTCCAAATATTTCAGAATCACAATGATTTGGACCACCCGTGACGACCAAGGTGTCTTTCTTGCTGATAGCCTCTAGAAAGGTCATCCGAGGTCATTTGAGGCTACACACAGATTTTTGCCAATAACTCTCGATTGAAAAGAGATAGAACGCTGGGGATGGCTCATTGTGTTTGTCTTGCCGAGACGCATCGACTGATATGCAACATGACCTTTTCCGGTCAGGTCATGACCTTGATCTGAGGTCAAATTTTCAAGTTGATCTTTCAGGGTCAAATTATAGTTCATTCGACTCGTCTCGGCGAGAGGAATACGATTCTGGCAATAGAAATGTCGTGGCTTTTTTTAGTCAAAAGTTATTGTCGAAAAACACTTTCCGTAAAAACAGCTATTTTTGGAGTTTTTGCCCTCTGGAGGCTAAGCCGTTGACCTGAGGTCATTTTTGATAATGGCCTTATCAAAAGAAGAGTTAAAAAGCTATCGATTGCTTTTCCATGCGTTTTTCTAGCCTGAGATAATGGCATGTTTTCTGAAAAAATATAATGGCAATTAGCAAATTTTGACCTTTGGTGACCTCTGGTGACCCCAATATTGCTCCAAGATGCAAAATGACTGAAATACTTTCAAACGTACGCATTGAGAGCTATCGACTACTTTTTACCGCGTCTTTATAACCCTCTTAGTTTTTTAGTTAGATGTGGGTGGTAACATATGCCCCCCCCCCCCACACACACACCACTAGGGCGAAGTTGGCCGAGACCGCCACTGGGGCGCGGGTTAAGTGCGTGAATTATTTTGCTTTTTTTGCACTTAAATATAGGTAACTTTGATTTTCTCTGAAGCATGCCCATTTGGTGTCGCAACATCATACCACACTGAGAGAACAATATTGCATCATTGTTCACAGAAACACCAGACGCGGGTGGCTCTGGTAAATTCGTGTCAGCATATGATACGAAACAGTTTATTTCGATCACCCAATCAGCTACTTTATAAACGAGTTCAGCATCGCTCACACAGCAGACACCAATCTGGACGCCAGTACAGGCCCAGGGCGACAGGTCTGTGCTCTGTTCCCGGAAATGTCAATCAGTATCGCCCAAAGCTAACATTTATTGAAACCATGTCACCGAGAACATTACCAGGTGTTATTGAGCATAACCCATACAAATCGCTCGCTACTGCAACTGAGCACTTGCTCTACTCATTAGTACAATGATCTATGTTTGCACTGATCACTTAGTTTGGCAATATTTACATGATCAAGACGAAAGCTTCGGCTTTCATGAAACCTATCAAAACTTGGGACGGCCGAGCGGCGTCTCAGAAGCCCGGGTTTATGATAGTCTCGTCTATCACCATCAGGATAGCGCTACCGTGCAATATCACTAATGAGATAATAAATGATGGCGGCTATTAGGGCTATACCCTTCACGGGACGGCGGGCGCCCGGTCGGGTCCTCAGATATGAACCGACGGGCGATAGTCGCGGCAAACGTTATCAGACGACGAGCCAGGGGCAAATGCTGTGGCCAACCGCGGCACCTCAGATGTGCACGCGCTAATCGCTGCTCCTCAAAATTACCGACAACGTTCCCTGTGGTCCTACGGATACCAATGTGACACACATTGGGTCCAGACTTAGCAACTGGAAATAATTTTTTAATCGCTTAAACATGCAGGCAATGTAATTGCACACTGTTGGAGACAAACGTCACGGACATTTATTACCCCAGAGGTCAATTACAATGAGACTGCGTCATAATCTAATGAGAAGCTGATGCCATGCAATTGCAAAGGTCTAATCTGCCCTTTACCTCAATTGAAAAAAAAAAAACAGTCAGATAGACTTCAGGTCAGAGCGGTATATATGTATAATAATTTAGACCTTTGGTACAAAACATGAACAAAACAAAATTTTCAAGGTCATTTAAACAGTTCCTATGAAAATCATTCCTTGACTGAACTACGGATGATTTTGTGCACAAAAAAGAATTCCGATGTGATTATCTTGCTTGCTGACAGCTCGCTCAAAAGAATATGAAAATAACAATGTGCACTCATGCGCCTTGTCACTTGAGAATTTGAGGGGACGACCAGCGAGAGCGGGTTTTACTTCGTCTTAGTTCCCGATGCGGTCGGGCGTCGTTCAGTTTTTTTTTTTTTGACATACCGCTGCTTTTCAGGTAACGCATACATAACGCGTATGTAGGTATAGGTATTTATTCTAAAATCAGAGAGCATTCCTGACTTACATACATAGAGGTGCCTGAAGTTTCTTTGAAGATATGAACGTGCATTGACCAATTACTCATGCCCGCAAAGCAAAGTACAGCAAAAGCAGCAAAAAATTCATGCGTTCCAGAGGCAACGAGCATCAGCAAAGGGCTCCCGACTTCGAGCCACAACAGTAGCAACTAATGTAACACGACAACTAAATATCCACCATACCATCTGGTTCAATCTAAGTCGTGCAGGCATGGAGCAAAACTATTTTTAACAATGGTCACATTAAGGTGACACCGCTGAATCTTCCGCCAAACCAAATCAACGGCTGTGTCAGAGTAATCTGCAACCATCGACTATCGACAGGGCATTCAGCATTTAGTTCATTACACGCGACATTAAAATAAATTCCGTGTCATAATTTTACCGTTCGATAAGCGCCTGGTGCGCAGCCTTTGTGCCGGCCCTGACAGCTGTCCCGAGGAATGTGAAATAATGACACAAACCGCCCGAGTAATGAGCTGGCGCAGCGCAGCCGGGCTCACCCCAGTTACTAACTCCGTCTGCACGGCGACAAATATATGACACTGTCACTCTTCGTGTGAACGGTGCCGGCGCAAAACTTCCAAATTGATTAAACGAAATTCACCGGGGGACAGCGATACGGTCACCGTCCGGGCCCGGTCCGCTAAAGATGGACTAATCAAGAAAAACGTGCGCCGATCATGACGGCCGTGCTCTGTAACGCTGCCGGTCCTGCATGCCGCTGCCGTGCGCACCGGCCATTTCTGCACCACGACCGCGGAAATATCCGGCCAATCACCGATGTAGCTCGTGATTGAAACAATAACCAGCTTATGTTTGACACTGATTAATTGCAACACCTGAAATGGAAAACCTGTCGACGGCTAACAATCGCCGGCTGCCGATTATAATGGCCACATGTGCTGAATATCGACAGCAAATTGCGGCGAGGCGGCGTTTTTCTGGCGACACTCATTTACCGTGTTACTCGGCTCATTTGTTTGAGTCGCTATCAAAACACGGGCCGTCACACGCCGGGCCGATAGCGGCGTTAAACCGCGACACAAAACTGGTTCTGCAACTTATAATTCAATTAGCGCCGACCCGGTCGAGCTGGATCATTATGTCAATGGCTGCAGAGCAGATAGCATCGAGCGGCGGCCGGCACGGCAGGCCAACAGCGACCGGCCGGTGTGGGACGCGGGTGAGACCGCTGAAACAACGCCGCGTTCAGCCGAGCTGAACCTGCTGCTGAACTGAGCTGAGCACGGATCAGGTCATATAAGGGTGAACAGTGAGCAGCGATGGTCTCGCGGTTGGACGCTAAAGGCTGAACTTCCTTGCAGATGATGCTTTTTATCCTAGGATGCAGCATGACCTTTCGACTGACAACCACTTGGCAAGAGCGGCAGTAGCAAACTCGATCGCACATTCGACTCTACAGCAGCAGAGGGAACGGTACATTTGGTACACGCTCCAGTTGTAAATAAAAACAGTATAGGAGCAGCAGTGAGTCAATCGCCCCAAGAGTTGCAGCGGCAGCAGAACCAGCAGCAGAAGCGCCGGTGACCAGAGCACGGCCGGCGAAGGGCCGCGCCGCGCCGGTGGGCCGCCCCCTAATTGCCGGCGACGTGCGGCGGGGGCGGGAGCGGGGGCGGGGGCGGCCTCTCGAAGGAGGAGTACCACCGTCGGTGGCGGCTGTTTACCTAGCGGGCCGATGATTTACTCTGTCGGCTCTCCGGCGGGGGTCGCCAGGTCGCGCGGCTCGCTCATCCATCATCGCCGCCAATTAAATCACATTGTGCTGTAATGAAGCTTTTGTGGCTGTGTGCAGTGCGGTAATTAATTGAGCGGCCGGCGGCGCGGCTGTAACCAGAGCCGACTCGGAGCGACGGAGACACAATGACCACCCGGAGGAGCTGCGACCGCCGGCCGCGGCCGTAACTCAGCCGCGCGCTGACACGGACACACAGACACCGGCCGGGGCCGAACCGGAGGACGGCGCGGGACGAGACGATACGGGACGATACGGGACCGGAGGCGGCATTCTTGGCGTACCGCGGACCAAACCTGGCCGGCAGGTAGCAGCGCCGGAAATGAACCAGCTTCGAACAAGCTCCAGGGGACGGCGCTCGGGCTTCCGGTTAGCCTCAGACGCGACTGTTATAAGAATTAGGTCAGGTCGATGACAGCCAAAAAACTCTTCAATGGCTTGAGCTGCGTTACCAAGCGATTTGAATTGAACGGCGTTACAAACTGCCCGCAGCTATTAGCTCAACAGACGGAAGATAAATGAAATGCACATTGCCATGGTCTTCGGGTGGATTTTTAGTCATGATCGGCGACTTCATCTGACCTTTTTTATGTCATTTGATGCGCATTTGTTTTTTATCGGAAAGCCAGCATGGGCAGCGTGGGGCCTTTAACCAGAGACGCTCCCCTGTATCTCCCTGATGGCTTGACCATCGTCTCCGTCAAAGTCTGCCGTCCACTGCAGCGAGCATCAGCGCCCTGGGGGGCACCACGACCGCCGCAGTGCGCTACAAGCGCCGCATTGACGGCCGGCCGGCTGCTGATTTAGCCGGCCCACCCGGCGCCTGGAGGCCGGCACAGGGCAGAGTTAGAGTCAGAATCAGAGTCGGTTCAAGTCGGAGTTCGTGCCGCCTTGTCATTTTAGCTTGTGCCACCTTGGAGAGGCGGGTGTCAGCTGGGCAGTGAAGCAGCGGCATCATCATCATCATGTTTATTGGCACAAACTCGGATTAAATCAAGCAAATTTGGTGGAGAATTGGCACAAAAGCTCGCTGCTTATTTCGAGGTGCCAACTCTCACAAGCAGCAGCGGCCGTAATCGTACCTCTCCCTCTCCCTGGGCCATCAGTGGCAGTCCCTCTCCCTCTCCCTGTGACAGCAGTGGCAGTAGTTGTCCCTCTCCCTCTCCCAGTGGCAGCAGCAGCAGTGGCAGTAACTCTCCTTCTCCCTGTGGCAGCAGTATCGGTCCCTATCCCTCTAACGGTGGCAGCAGTGGCAGTGCTGCCCCTCTCCCTCTCCCTATGGCAGTGGCAGTCCCTCTCCCACCGGATGCATTGACTCCCTCTCCCCTCCCTGTGGCAGCAGCAGGAGCAGCAGTGGCAGTTCCTCTCCATCTCCAAATGGCAGCAGTGGCAGTCCCTCTCCCACCGGATGCATTGACCCCCTCTCCCCCCGTGGCAGTGGAAGCAGTGGCACCTCCTCTCCCTCTCCCAGTGGCAGTAGCAGCAGCAGTTCCTCTCCCTCTCCCTCTCCCTCTCCCATCCGGCCGTGTAATGATGAACGGCGCAGCGCCGCGGCGGCCACGTCCCGCTCCTGATTTATACCATTAGATAAGCGCCGGCAGCACCTGGCGCATATCTGACCGCACTAATTTGCTCAGAGCCGTGTGGGCGGTCCGGCAATGGTCGGCTGGACAGACCGCTGCGGACCACCGGACTAGTGGGAATGGACAGACCACTGCGGACCACCGGACCAGTGGGACAGGACAGACCAGCGGACCAGACCAGTGGTATAAGGCCAAAGAGCGCCCCAAACATGGAACAGCCGGTGAGCAGTAACAAGATCACATGACCTGGTCAGAGTAGCGGCATAGAGTCTTCTTTGTCTGATGTAATCAACCGACATATGAGTCCCATCAGTACGGTCAGGGGAGTAAAGGGTCATAGTACAGAATGAAAACAATTGGTTGACGGTTTCCCATCCATGACACGCTACCCTTCCCCTGCTCACTAAGGCCGCGGATCACATCAGTCGCAAACGCAGCGTAAGCGACCAAAGAGCGTTTTCATATTTCACAACCTCCGCGAGTTTTACAGAGCTAGGATAAAACACAGGAAGGTATCAATCAGTAGGTGATATTTAGCAGAAAGGGAGGGTAAAAATTATTGAAGTTTTAACTAGGATATCGCCACGCTGAGTCAGTGAGTTATTTCTCCTCTCGCCGCCGTAACAAGAATCGTGATATGTGAGTAATGAAGCATCGTGACTTATCTGACACATATGCAGATGTAATTAAACGGAGCCAGATGAGATTACAGCGGCAGGTAGGTAATAGCGGTAAGACAGGCCAAAACGTTAATTAGTTAGCAAAAGGACAAAGGTAAGCATAATAAGGTCAAAAGTCACATGCATATCAACAAAATAAAATTCAGCCTTTGGATATTGCATTCTGGTGGTTGTATCAGCTCGTTCATTGGTGCAATCATGCTGTGACAGACTCATAATAAAACGGATTCGATATACAAAAATAAAACTTAAAAATAGAGAGCTGCAATCAATTAAAGACAATTTCATCGAAATTTGCCAATCTTTTCATTCAACTATTGTCGCATGTTTTCGGAGCAGTAAGGAAAAACAAAAGAAAAACAGAGCGACTTTTGGCCATCTTTTGGCCACTATCTAACATAGGTATAGCAAAATTGTATCGCGGAAAGCCCTAACAGATGCAGCAGACACACATTGCAGGTGGGGCTGGGCAGCAGCATCCGTTCTAACGGGCGACAGCGATGATGCGAGAAAAAGAACAGAAACATCAGTCACGGTGCCAATAAAGCAGCACTTAGGCGTTTTCCGCGACTGTTTTCAATTATCGAAATTATGGAGGACTAATTATTTGGTCTTATTTGGTCTAACCACCAAACTCCAGCTACTCCATGCAGGCACCATCACCGTTACCACGGAAGGTCGGAAGTGACCCGCTTCTCCGCCGTTCCTGTCGAAGCAATGTTGAAAACCAGGAACGGCTGCCGTCCACCGCACGCTCCGGCCCAGCGATTCCGTGCAGGTCACTGCTGGGTCATGTCAGTTAAACTGGAGCACCGACAGATGCCAGTGGGCGCTGCTGGGCGCCGCTGGGCGCCGGTGGGCGCCCATACCGAACGGTGGGCGCCAGTGCCGGCCCAGTGGGGGCACAAGCAGTGCCATCCGTCAGCCGCGCACCCGGCCGGCCCGAGACGCCGCTCGGATCGCTCCGACCGAATCTCTTCATTAATAAAGAGTCTGCTCCGATTATTTACTGCCCACTGGGCGGCGGCGCCCGGAAAACAATGGGAATTAACGGATGGCCGTGCGGGCTGAACGTATGGCCGCTGGGGCGGGGTGCTGACGGACGCCGTGCCGCTCCGCCGGCCATTACAATGAGGGATCCATCATCGCCCTGTGGAGCCGGTTAGAGAATGCAATCAGGCCGAATCAGCATACGCCGGTGCGTGAGATATAGGTGGACACGCGGCCGCTTTGACAGCTCGGCCCGGGTCAGGAGGCGGCCGTTTTTGTTTGGTCGCGCGACCCGGGTGCACGGGCTGTTTCTCCGGGGCCGGCGGAGGCCTGCTGAGACCGCCGGCGGTGCCGACCGCCCCTCGGCACGAACAATGCACCGCACACAGATACCGGCTCTCAGCACGGCCCGCACCGCCCACCCTGCCGGGCGGGGAGCAGGTCCGACAGCTCCTCTCTTCCTATGCACTCAGAGAAACTGGCTCTCAGCACGGCCCGCACCGCCCACCCTGCCGGGCGGGGAGCAGGTCCGACAGCTCCTCTCTTCCTATACACTCAGAGATGCCTTCTCTCAGCACAGTCCGTACCGCCCCTGCCGGCCGGGGAGCTGATTCCACAGCTCCGGTCCTGCACACACTGGAAACACGTCCACTAGCTCCTCTCCTCCCATATGCACCAGGTATCTACAGGCTTGATAGCTCCTGTCTTGTGTTCGCAGGGGACAACTTTCTTCTAACACCCACGTTCAATCAATGCCATGACAGTTCGCTACCAGGGGAAGCGTTTTCTTGGGTAGCTTGTTCATGAAATGCCAGCGCGAAATGCAAAAATAATTTGTCAGCATTTACGACGCTTTACGACGATTCCACCGCACCCGAACGAACGTAAGCTTCATGGACGAGTTATCTAATCGTCAACAGAAGTTGCTTTCGCCTATTTCAGTGTCTCAAACTAATGCGAGGAGCCACCGAATAGACATGGTGAAGGGGTGGAGACTGGAGAACACCGTAACACATGATTCGTTTATACCACAAGTAACAGCGCTGCCTGCTGATAACACTGCGACAAAATATAGGCGGCAAGCGTAGGTATAAACCTAGTTAGTACTGTCAAGGTAATTTATTTCTGTCCGCATCATTGAATCACACTGGTTCTGGGACTAGCTCCATTCACTAACAAGTCAAATATCATCATGACGAAAACTGAAACAGGGCTGCAACCCCCAACATATTACAATGGCGAAGAGCAAGAAATCAATAAATCATTCGCACCGTAATCTGCATCCCACGCCAGTCCAATGGACCATGTCATTAGTAAAGTAAGACGTGCCATCTGCACTCCGGCCCCGTTTGTTTCACCAAGAGCCGCTCCAGCACGATGAACTATTAGCATAATCTGCACAGGTAGCCGCTATGCAAATGGCGACTTAATCACAATCTGGCCAGAAGCGCCTCGGCTTGGTAAATTAAGATAACAGGATGGCCAACCTGTCGTTGTCAATGACCATATCGTTAACGGTATACCCCTATTATTGCCTCAAGAAAATATAGCATTGCATATATGGGAGACATACTTTAGAGAGTTACCCAGTCTTTGTTCCACAGCCCATCTATTCTATGCTCCACCCTTCGGCCTCAATCCTACTCTCATCACCCAACCGTTTGAGGTTTGTCTCAAAAGCCAAAAAAAAAGATGTCAAAAAAAAAACAGGTAGTCACCTGTTATCTGTCAGGTATTTTGTATCCCATGAAACGGCATTCGTTGGCATACTTGCATTGTACAAAATACAAAATATATGCATGAATTCATCCAAACCTTACAAAACCGAATGTAGCGTAGCACCTTACATTGAGCTAATCATAAATCCCAAAATATTGAACTCCAATTGGCATCAACTGCCCTAAAATGCAACCGTCATTAAGATGGCTTCCTCTAGGCCAGATATACTAAGCTAAAATACGACTAAATTAGTTTGTGGACTCATGTAACGGTTCAGCAAGCTTGAGTTTCTGGACGCATCATCTATTCCGTGCAATCCTTAGCACGCAGTCGCGGAGCATCAAAACTATGCGGGGAATGCGAATAGTTAACCCTTGTTTACACCCTCTCACTGTGCAGGGGGCGGGGCCATTGTGAGAGACAGCCGGCCGACAGTAACGCATCAGGAGGTATGCAGGGGGCATGTTCGCGGCATAATTACGCCGAAAATGACCGGCACAGACCGTCGGCAGTCCCACCCACTGCCACCAGCTAATGACCTCGTTAGGACCAATTGGACCGGTCCGAGAGGGCAGGTCCCCAGAGGGCAGGGTGGGCGAGTTGACCGGGGTGTGGGAGAGGCGGTAGGCACTGCTCGGCAGTCGCACAATCCCACTCATGCATCGTCGGACAAGACACGACGACGCAAACTGACGACGAGAAAATGATTGAGATCGGACTACACATGACAGTTAAACCTAACCTAGATAAAGATGAAAACGAAAACATTTTGGTCTCAATATGACAAAACATCGATCCGGAAACACACAAAACACGAAGGCTGGCGACCATCTGAGCCGCGAGACCAGCGACGGCGGCACAGCTGGTGGGAAGCGCCCGTCTCGCCGGCCGGCAGCCGCGTCGCTCCAAAGACGAATGGCCCGGGCTCGTCGTAGGAATGTAAGCCGCGGCCCCGAGCGGCGGGGTACGGTTCGGAGAGGAGTACCGACCGGAGGGGGAGTGCAGAGGGCAGCGGATGGGGGCAGAGAGCGGCGTGAGGTGTCCGCTCACCCCTCTGTCCTGACCCGCTGTGTAAACACTGAACATTAATTATGACGTGAAAAATGGCACTGACACCCCACTGCACGCGCATTAGCGTCAAACTGCCGTTGTTAATGATCATAAATTGAATTTTATCCGCTGGCTAATGTAGTTATTAACACCCGGTTATTTGTAATCATTAATATTAAACCAGCGACTTGATAGTGTTTAGAGACATTAGACCACAATGGCGTCGGGCGCGAGTGCTTTGATTAGAAACGCTTACCACCCGGGATCGGCAGAGACGGGCCGCGTCGAGAACTCCATTACCTATACCCGCCCCGCGGCCGGCGCGGTGCTTTCGTAATCCGGGGCAAAGCGAAAGCTCCGGAGGCCATGGCTATGTAAGACATGCCGATCGTTTA